CATTAGGATGTACATATTTTTGCTATTTGGTCTGATTGGTGGAATTCGTTACCTTCGGCATTATAGACAGTGGAAGATTTAATATGAGGAATTAAAATTTAAATATTTAATGTGTGTGGTCAATTATTCCTCAAGAAATTCGATCAAAGATTACATTACCTTTTCTTTTCTACTGGTATGTGTAAATACAAGGAATTCCTGTTATGCTTTAACAGCTTCTTTCTTTGTATCTCCTCCCCCTATTATGGGAGAGAACAAATGAAACTAATTTCTTTTGATTGGGGAATCCAGATCACCTTTGCACTTTCTTCTTAAGATTTCTGCACTCCGGACATGAAAATATTCTCTGTATTTGGTCATTTCTTTTTATGCAAGTTACTTTGTTTTGTTCCCTTTTTCTGAACTCCCAAAACTTATTTTTGGAAGATGTGTATCCACAATCTATTCCTTTGGAAAACAAGAGCAGCAGAGTTTTGGTCTCTTGCTTCTCCATAAATACAGTTGTTTTCCAACCCTGTGGTAAGTTGACATTTCAGAGACGCGGTGGAAGAAAAAGAAGTTCTTAGTTTTGGATTGGTGTGTTTTTGTTGTGGTGGTTTTGTTATTTTTTTTAATAATAAATTCCCATACAGAGACAATCTATTTATTTTATTTTTCTGCAAGGCTGTCTTTTATGCTCTGTCTTGAGGTGGATGTTCAGTTTTCAGGCACATACTAGTAAATTTTCCAACAAAAAGTACAGGGCTGCAAATTCTCAATCCTTTTCTGGAAAAACTTGTGTAATTTATGCTTCTGATTTTTGGAGGAATTCAGTGTGAGACTAAGGCTATTTCTTCTGACCTGTATTTTATTATTAATCCTTATCACAGAATATAGCTGTCGACATAGGCTGGAGAAAAAAATATTCCAGCCATGTAGGAAATTACCAGTAGAAAATGTCAAGAGCTGAAAGCTTTTACAGGTTTAATAGAAAATTAGACATTATAGTGGTTATTCTGTCTCCTAGTCTAAGGACTTGTGTAATAGTTACATGAGGATTTGTAAGCTGTATTTGTAATAGTAAACCTTCACTGTTTAGAAAAATATGATCAAAAGTTTATATTGTTATTGAATGTGAAAGTGAGTTAACTGAGTAATGATTCACTGTGGGCTGATTTGATGTTGAGGAAAAAGGTACTTCATCCTCAGATGGCAAAGAGACTCTGTTTTAGTGGATACCTTTCATAAGTATTGTGTAAATTTGGCACAGCTTCAGAAGCAATAAATGCTGCATGTTTAAGGTCTGTTTTGTAGGTATTGAACAGATTCAGATTTTTTTGATAGCAGCTTTATTTAATTAGGCAACTATGGTGAGGTTTTTTTAAATTATATACTTTCTCCAGCAAAGCCTAGTTTTGACTTACATTTTTGTGGCATTTCATAACATTTAGATCCTGTGCAGTATTTAAACAAGAGCGCATATGTGCTATATGCAAACTACAAAAAAACCTTTTTAACCTGTTGTTATTGCTGCTCTGCTCAGTGCTGATATGCCATGTATGCATTGCCATTACCTACATCACTTCTCTTTCTGAGAACTTTAAATGAATTGAGTATAATTTGATAAGTTACAGAAACAAGAACCAGCCGATCTTGAAGTGACAAAGAAAAAATAAATCAGTATTATAGATCAGTGTGCATCAGGGGTTCCTGTAGCAGTCGGTGTGCATGATCTTATTACCCACAAAAATATGAAGTACTGTGAACCTTTCTTTTTTGAGGAAAAAATAATTTGATTTAGACTGCATTTGTTGTGAAATAAAGATGTAAACATATGCGTGCTGACATATTGCAGAACCTGTGATTTTGTTTCACAAGTCTATATGGTCAGTGTCTTTAAAGCGGAACAAATTGGACCTTCATTTCTGTGTTAAAGCTTTCTGCAAAGAACGACGGGATGACTGCAATTGCTATTACTAGATTCTTCGCATTCTTTGTAAACACCCAGATGTAGAACTGTGTCTATTTGAAGTCCGAAATATGTAGCTGAGAGCTTATTCACTGTGCAGAACAATTATTCCTAGTTATTAAAGCAAGTATGTAATTTCTTGCATTAAGGTCCACTATATGTACCATGTTTAGGCCTTTAAAAACAGGTCTTACTCCTTCAGGCCTGAGTCTTACACTAGTCTTATAGTGATATAAGGAGGAAATTTCTTTTAAACAAAACAACAGAAGTGGCATGCTAATATTTTGGTGAAGTCAGGTCCTGATTGCCCAAACTACAGGAAGATCCCTCAGCATATAACTGACTTTAAAATTATCTTCTATTTTCTGTTTGAGGTTCCCCAAATTTATGAATCTCCAGTTCCCTCTTTAAGTGGTGTTCCAGTTTAGAATGTACTGGTGACATTACAACCACTGGTGAACTGCATTGGGATGTAGACCCAGCCTGTGAAGGCTCAGGTAAGAGTTTGGATTTTTGTTTGTTTTTTTAACTATATGGCACAGTTTTGGTAATATCTTTTTCCAAAGCTTTATCAGAAATTATTAAAGTACTTTTTCAGAATTTTTACAAAACAAAGCCATATATTAAAAAAAGAGGCATTTACCTGAACTTCTCTAGGCTGGTTTCATCGTTGTGTTTATTTCCCTGCCTGATGTGTGGGGTTCTAGACTGTAGTGCCACTTCAAGGGGTGCTGGTGATCTGTGGCTTCAGGGGACTTGAAAAAGGAGGGGGAGGAAGTGAGTTCAAAATTGTTACAAACCAAGCTCTCTTCTTAACCTTGTTAACTGGAATATTTAGGATATTTCCTACATGTTTAAAAATTCTCATATTACAAGTGAAATGCATTCACGAAGTTGTAAGAAGACATCAAAATAATAGTGAAATGTGGAAGGCCCTGCTTTTTGCTTACTGTTGTATAATGTGAGGTCTTAAAATTTAGAAGTACTGATAAGGGTAGTAAATGTAATTTCTTATGTTTATAATTAAAATATGTTAGTTCAGTGGTATTTGTTCTGTTCATCTTGGTCTGAATTAAAAAGCTGATGAGATTAGCTTTTCCAGCCAAGTACAATGTTTGGCAGCATGCTATGCCTTTTAAAAAAGACATTTAAGCTTATGGAAAGACTTGGAGCGCAGGAACAGAGTGTGACTGAGAATCACTGTCTTCTGTCATTAGGCTTCTCAGCTTGCCAAGACCTCCCCTCCCTTTAGCACTTTTGATACAAATTAATCCCAATCATAGGCTTCATAACTGTGACTCAGTGATCAAACCCATCCTGCCCTTGAGAGAGGTGTACCAATTCCTGTGCTGAGTCAGCTGCAATACAAGTAGATCGTCTTATGATGTGGTGCATGTCTACACCAGCTTTTTGCTCTGATTTACATTCTAAAAAGTGGATTACTACTCCACTGAAAAAACTCTGACGTAAATACTTCTCTTCTAAATTAGAAATTATATGTAAAGCACACTTCAGTTTTGGAAAGTGAAATATATTAATGTTACAAGTCTCATACTTAAGAGCTATGTCCCATACAAATCTAGATGACAAATTCTGTGGTCTGGCTTAGGTGTGTTTGGTGCAAAGCATGGGCATGGCTGAACAAAGCTGAAGACAAAACAGCACCAATTTTATGTTCCCTAGTTACCGAAACAAGCCAGCCTCCAAAACACACTAAGCTTGCCTCGGACTCTCCTGATCTCTGTTCTTCACTCCTCCCCTCCCCTCCGCTGTGTATCAATGTAACGAAGGAACAGACTGTGATTTTTGCAGCAATGGCTGGGAATGAAGTATCATTTGAGGTTATGTATTTAAATCAGCATTGTCAATTTAGCAGGTTTTATGACTATAGAACAAAATAGGTCATGCTGGTGATGCTGGCCCAAACCTGGAAGTGAGCTTCCTGTAGGAGAGTGTGGTGTTTCATTGCTTTCCTTGTATGGGATTTAAATTTGTTAAAATTCCTTCAGCATGCTGTGATGTTGGCAGACTATGACTCAGTTTATAATACAGGATATTAAATCCTTTTAGCTTAGCATGAATTTGTTTATGAAGAAGATTAATAAATGGAACCAAGATATGGTAGCCTAGCTAATATTTTTGAAATAATGTACTAATTTGTGTACATCAGCTCATCTTAAGGTAATGCAGAAGTAAGATCTCGTCTTCAGATGTGACAAGGAAAACAGACTCACAGAAGATACTGAGCGTTGCACCTGTCATTTGTCTACAGAATGAATACTGTGCTGGTGGTAGTTATTAACGGTAGTGTTCAGCGGAAAAAAATGCACTTAACTGCTGGGGGTGGTTTTTTTGTTTGTTTGTATGTTTTTTTCCCTGTGATTAGATAAGGATTTTTATAAGACTGACTGGTGTGGCACTGTGGTAAAGTCATATTCTCAGTTATCAGATGCCACAGAGGTATAGCACCTAGCAATGCAGAACTATCGAAATGTCATATAAGTGGGTTGTTTTTTGGTGCTTGATTGTTTTTAAAACAGTCTATATGCTGTTGTATCTGTAAACAGTCTCATCTTTTACTTTTCATGTTCATAGGTGTAAATATTGAAGATACTGGTATGCCATTGATTATATTATGTTGAAGTAAAAATGTTCTGAAATTTATATTTAGCACATGTTTTGGAATAATAGTGTCATTTGGTAGCTGGAGCAAAGGATTTAGGAGTCATGACTCTTCAGTATTTTTCCTGACATATTAGAAATTTGAAGAACATAGCAAAATCTTTGGTAATGGACAGGCATTTTTAATATCAACATGTCAGCAAGCTTCAGGTCGTTCAATGACTGCCTCAAGAAATACATAATGATTTGGAAAAAGTGGCTTTGCTTTTGTCATGCCTAGAAAATGCAATATGGCTGGCTGCTCATAAAATAAACCCAAAGCTTCCTCATGTTGCTGCTTTTTTTTTTATTTTAAACTAACATGATCGTGACATTGCTGTGCAGTTCTCTGCTGCTTATGTTTTAAGTTGAAATCTCGTTTTTGTTTCAGATTCTCCTTCTTCTGTGGTTAACAAACAGCTTGGATCCATGTCACTTGATGAGCAACAGGGTGCGTGACAGGAAATGCGCTATACCCAGCCATAGTTGATTGCAATGCTTCCTTTTAAAACTGCCTTTCATGGTGATAAACAGTTTAAAAATGCTGTTCATCTACATAAAGTAGAATTCTGTAAGCAGATTTGCTGGAAACTCATTAATTATTTAATTCTCAATATAAGTAACAGAGTAAGGTTAATTGTTGTTTTCAAAAGCCATCCTATGCTCAATTCTTAATGTGTTCAGTGTAGGTACAGTAAATGTCTTATGTACTCTACAGGCATTTAGAATATTTTTTTTAAATCCAAAGTAAAATTAAGTCTTTAAACAGTGTTTTTCTGACTGGTTCTTGGATCAAAGTGCAAATATCAAGATTGAAGTAACTTTTAATCATATCATGCCAAATTCAGTTATCTTATGCAAGAGAGGTGTGCAGCTTTGTTACACTTGCACAGTCTGAGTAACTCAAGAGCACCTATTGAACCTAGGTGCACCTTACCTCTGTAACCCCTTGTCCAACACCCCTTCTGCTAAACAAGTACTAGTTTCTCTGTAGATGCCCTATGGGCTGGTGGTAGAAAGAGTGCCTGTGATCTTTCTCTATGCCTGTTACTCATCAGCCTTCAAATTGTGAGCAGTGAAGTGGGCCATAGGTGACCCTATTCCAGCTGAACCAATGTCATCTGTAGTGAATATTTATGCCTGAATAATTAATGGGTGATTGATGGTAATTTAAAAATAGATTTCCATACACTCTGCATTATGCTTACTTCCATATCAAAGCCTCTGTAGAGATTTAATAGCTCATATCCCACAAAACAGCTGGCTGTTTCATCTTGTTTCACATTCTAAACTAGAATGCTGTTTTGAAATCCAATTTCTGAAAAATAGTCTGTTTGGCAACTGTCGAGGTTATGGTTTATTTTAGGATGCCAGAACATTGGAAAAAAAAAAATCAAGCTGTGTTTTTATATTGACAAAATAAGTTCATTTTGTGGAATTACATTTTGTGATAAAATAGCATTAAACCTCAATGTGCAAATTTGCTAATTATTCATGGTTCAGTAGTCTACATCAATAGTCAGGTTTTGCTGGAAAACTTGCTTGTAATTAATGGCCAAGTTATGGTCTCTGTTATGAGCTCAGAATAACGCATTATTTGATGCGAGTAGAATAAACTAGAAATAGCACAGAAAGTCTGTACATTTACCGAAGTTCTTACAACTGCAAAAATTTTGGAAAACTAATAAATTGTTCTGTGAAGTTGTGAATTAAGCCCATCTGACAATAAAGATAAAACCAGAAGTTTTGGTCCCAGAAATCAGTTCCCACATCGGCATCACGTTCCTCTTCAAGCAGGAAGTTGCCTTAAGAACTAGTTTGTGTATTAGTATTGTTAATCGCATAGTTGTAATAGACCTATAGTTGTAATAAACTCTTGGGACATTTTGCTAATAATTTTTTTCCTGCGTTAAGAAATTACTTGAACTAATGCAAAGAGGTTTCCTCTCATAAAAGCACTTCAGATTTTTCAATATGCAAAAAAAACTCCTAAATACATTTGTTTATCCAGACTTCATTGGTAGACCAGTTCTCTGACTGTTTTAAGGCCATGTTTTTCTGTTGTGATGGTAAGGATCACTTGAAGAGAAACAATGTTATTTCTAGTTTGGAAAACTAGCAATTTGGAGAAGGAGGTGATTTGTTAGGAAATCCGTTGTACAAATGATAACCAGAAAGAATAATTTCCTAAGATCTGGTTGGCTTTTTGAAGTTAAACTGCATTAGTTTCACTTCATATTTGAACAGACACCTCCAAAAAGTATAAGTAGCTAATGAAGGAATTTGTACTCGTTCTTTTTATATAGAAATGCTTTTTCTTTCTTATTCCTATTTTTTTTTTTAGTTTAGTGCTGAATCATCTGACTTTTGTTGACATTTATGTTTTAAGACTGTTTCTGGATTTAAAGATCTCTTTATACTTATTACAAACATATAAATTTATAATGCCATTATTCTGACAGTCCAGAAGAAGCTATAAGTCATTCCCATTTGTACACAGTGGTTTCAAATGGATTAATGATCTATGCTGTTTTTTTTTTTTAATTTTTTTTTGACTGTGATTGTAATAATGGAGGGTGTCTGTTAGATTTGTTGCAGTGTAAGGGCGGCATGATGATTGTAAAGCACTGCCTGAATTGGTATGGTTAAAGTGGCAACCTGAAGCCAGACAGCTAGCTCGATGACTTTGAGGTGTATGTGTTATGTATCCCATACCGTCTGAATGCTGCTTCCTGCATACACAGAAGCCGTACTGATTATTGATACTTCTAGATATTTGCAAGTTAGTGCAAGGGTTTAGTAATCCCTTATGGTGACGTCCATACCAGGTTGTTCAGTGCCACATTACAGATACTGTAAGTCCTTGAAACTTTATTGGCACGTGTTGTGTCCCAGCTAATTAGCTCTGCCTCCCAGTCAGATGAACTGGTGTGTTGGTGTGGATATAGAGCTTTCCAGGTCTATAGTGAGCTCTGCGGGTACAAGCTCAAGAATTTCAGTGCTGTGCTTTGTTGTAAGGCACGGTATGGTCTGTACTGCCTCCTTTGGTAGAGTGCAGTACTACTACATCTAATTAGTATGGGAATCATCTAGACAAAGAAATAGTGTGCCTTGGGCTATAGATTAGGCTTGTCCAAAGAATTATTTGATTTTTTGTCTTCCCATTGACATCATATAGTGACTGGTATTAGCGTAACATTGTTCGGTCAGTATTCCTCACTAGATAAACAGATCTCCACCCTTCCCTCCGAGTTCAGCTGCTTCTGATCGATTTTCATGTATTAAGCCTTCCCATGAAATCCTTATTTTTCTGAAATACAACACTTATTTTCTTGTCTTTGGATCAATTTTTCTCCCTTCAGAAGTAACCCTCTTCAGTTTTCACCCAGAATATAACACTATCTTCAGAATCTACAAAGCTGATTTTCTTATCAGGGAATCATGATTAGTGCTGGATAGGAATTATTTTGGAAGTTTTTAACAAAAAGTCATGGGGTTCTTCTCATGGGGTTGCCAATACACTAGTGAATAGGGCAGCATTTGAGATGTAGGAAACTAGCTTGAAGTTCCTTACAATGTTAGTTTAACTAGGTAATGCAATCTGTAAACCTGTCTCTTACGTGCATGCCACTTCATAGTAAAAAGCCCCCATCTTTGTGAAGTTACACTTGCACAGGTTCATTTTCTAAGAGAAAAAGTGTGTATGAGAGGTTTTGCTTTCAGTTGTGGGATTGGTTTGTTGTTTTAAATAAGGTTATGAATGAAATTTTGTCTTCAGTTTTTATGATGGTAGTTTAAAAGTACTTTCCTCCTGTAGGCACCTGGAGAATGGACCATTTCATGGGAGTGTCTGTTCTAGATCAGATTTGCTTACAAAATAAGACTGGAAGTTGTTGATAGTATCTTCGAAGTATAATGTGTTTGACTGTAAAATCTAAGTAAAGTTTCAAGGTATTTTTGAGGAATTTGGAATAGAGTTTAGTAAGGTGTTGACAAGCTGCAACTTTCTCTTGAAGTAATTAGTAGAGCTTGCAGTGAGATCAATAGCTTTGGCAATAGCTGCCCCCTAAGTCACAGCAGCTGTGCAACTTTCCCCCTTCTTCCTTTCATTATTTTATCAATGTGAAGTAGATCTGGCCTGATGGGATGAACCTAGTAGTGAAAGAGAACAGAGCTTCATTCTGATCTAGTTAGTCTTTGGCAATCACATTGTTCTTCTTTAAAACATGACTTCTGGATTTTATGTGACTTCTCTAAAAGAATGTTCAATTATGTACTAGGCAAAGCTTATTAGCAGTCTTCACAGAGGCTTTCATTCAGCTTTCATTAGCAGTGCAAGTTTAATATAAAATAGTGAACTACACAACTAATTCTGTGTAGTTTATTATCAGAGTCTTGTCTCATCTGTGTTTTAAAAAGTGTCTTGTTCTCATTAGTGTCAGTTTCATGCCCTAAAGCTAGTTTAAAGAAGAAACTGACCCAATGCAAATTATAGCTCATGTTATTGTAGATTTAAGAAAAAGCTATTACACAATATGGTTTAACTGCTATCTGTCTCCAGAAATTTGTAAAACTAATTTCTCAGTCAGTGTCCTCTTTGGATAACCCTACAGCAATTCTTCCAACTTTTTGAGTGTGAATAAATATGACCACTGCTTCCACAGTAAGCATAGTCAGAGGAAAATCTTTAAGCATCTTGGTTAAATTTTTTGGTGTTGAGATTTTAAGACAGGAAAGCACTGTTACAATAATCTGATCTAAGCTGTATAATATGAGCCTAATATTCAATAAAGTTCATTATAGGACAGCGATGTTTGGTTGCTTGGTTAGTAACAACTAGTTTTGAGCTGAAGCAAATGTTGCATAGCAGGATCAAGTTACAGTATAGTCATTGTTTGGTGGCTGTCTTGGACTATCCAAGGCAGTAAGTTGTCTGTATTTATCTGGGTTCGCAGTTCAAAGATATGCCTTGTCTGTATTTATTACAAGGAAGGTAAAGAATTCTCCAACTATGTCATCTTTTACTCTTTCAGTGTCCAGCTCCTGATGACTTGTGCAGTATGTTGGAACGATAAGTATTGGTACTGGCTTAGGAAGGGATGCTCAAAATTTGACCAGACTTTAGACTAAAAGATGCTTGCTGATAGGTTGCCAAAAGAGAGAAAGCACCCATTTGGTTAAGAAGGAATGTGTCATGTTTGTTCAAAATATCTATATACACCATTATAAAATATTTTCTTACATTTATTTCTTTTCTTTCTTAGTTTAATTCAGGAACTGGAAACCTTGCTTTTCATCAGTTTTATCCTTGTTACAAAGAGTGTAACTGCAACCTCTATTTTAGAGAGGCTATGAACTTTTCTTTGCATAGAATGAGGACCATGCCTTATGTATGATTCATTAATTCTCCTTCACATAAAAATATTTTCATTTTTCTTACAGGGTTTTTATGTTTGTGGTTTGTTTTTTTTTTTTTTAAATTTCTCTTCAGAATATGTAGAAATAAGTATTTAAAGTTCTTCAGAGCAGCTGCGCACTGCTCTGATCCTGTGAGTGGGCTTCTGCCTCTCAACAGTTTAAAAATATGAGCATTGATTGTTAGGTTAAGTTCTTATGTGCTATTTCATAGTTCCTGCAAGCTGGGGCATAGGAGGTTCCACATTAACATAAGGAAAAACTTTTTCACTGTGAGGGTGACAGAGCACTGCAACAGGCTGCCCAGAGAGGTTGTGGAGTCTCCTTCTCTGGAGACGTTCAAAACCCGTCTGGATGTGTTCCTATGTGATCTGCTCTAGTGGTCCTTCTCTGGCAGGGGGGGTGGGCTAGATGATCTTTTGAGGTCCCTTCCAACCCCTAACATTCTGTGATTCTGTGATTCCTAGAACTTGATTGTATTTTTTAAAGTGAATATCCTGTGGCAGTATTGCAGCCAGTACTGGTTTAATAATAGCATTTTTAGGGAGGGAATTTGTAGGTTTGTACTTGAATCAAACATTAGATTTTAATTGATGTTACCCAAAGATCATGTGAAGCTTTTATTATGAGTGTCAGTCTGCTGCCAGTATTGCAACTATACTTAATTTCTGTACTCTATAAACTAAAGTAAATATGGCATGGTTTTGTCTAAATAGTCCTGAGATTAAAAGCTCAGCATTCATGAAAAGCAAGACTTAGTGGCCATTTGAGTGGTAAGTGATAAACTCTCCCGTCTGAGTTCTGAGAGAATGGCACCTCTGTAGTGAGGCCTAATTTGATGGTACTTTCCATTAACTTTTTAGTATTGCCCAAGGCCAGCTTCAGTATTAATTGCAATTGTGCCATGCATATAGATAGATTGTGACCATGAATTACTCAAGGGTGGTGGGTGGACGGACGGATGTCATTGAGCAGTTCTGTTTTGAAGGTGCCCACTGAACATTCTTAAAACAACACATACAGCAGATGTTTGGGAGACTTGCAGTGGTTTTCAGTTTGATTCACTTCTGTTGCTTTTGGACATCATGAATAGTTTGTTTTGCAAGTACCCCCCTTCTGCTTCTAGGTATCATAATATGAAAGGGGTTTTAAACCAAACGCTCTCAGAACATGAATTTACAGTGGTTTCATGTCAGCTAGCTGACAGTTTAGAGCAGATCTAAGGATATTGGCAGTTGACTGGGTTCTGAGTAGAAAAAAAATTAGAGGGGATGGTGATTTTTCTAGACCACTGATTGTGTCTAGATCTCATCGTCTTTTTTTCATGTGTATCTACTGAGGCAAAAAAGACTGAACACCGCTTCTAAAAAACATGTTATATTCTTATTATTAACTTGATAGAGAAGGGATCTGCTTGTAAAGGATAATATAGTATGTACACGTACCTATCTGCAATTTTATTTGCCTGCATGTTGAATGACAGCATCTTCTTTGTTTGCTCTTATAAATACAAATAATTTTGGGCCATTTTTAAAGCATTGCAAATTTGATGTGTTTACTCTGAAACTTTTTAACTTTTTGCTTGGGCTGTAAGAGATCTTAAATAGACATTGTATGTGTTATTACCACATTTGGCCTTTGTTAGGATAATTAAATGAATCTTCAGAAGTATAACAGCTTTATGTATATTAATGATGCCCATCCAAACTTTATCAACCCCATATTTACAGAGAGTGATAAGCCACGAACTGGAACAGGTGAACCAGTTTTAAGTTTGCACTACAGTACAGAAGGAACGACTACAAGCACAATAAAACTGGACTTCACTGATGAGTGGTAAGAAATTAATTTTTGACTGGTTATTTATCAGCACATATCACTAACACTTGTCTAGCATAGGTACAGATAAACTATTTTTTCCATATGAAATGTGTATATTTTTGGGTATATATAGACAATTTGAAATGGCTGTAGTCCTTTATGCATTCAGAACGTAGAAGACAGTCATACTTTAACATGAAATTTGTGCAAGAGGTTTTTTTTGTGATATTTACCATGAATCTTTTTAATGCTAACATAATTTGAAAAATGCTATTTTCATCAAACCCTAGCATAATATTAGTGTTCGCTATCTTACTAAAACAGGGTAGTACAGTGATGGAAAGGTGATGCAGGGGCTAGCGCTTAAGTTTTAATTCTCTGCTCTACCAGACTTCTCATATGGTATTCTGCAAATTAGTCTTTCTGTGGCACAGTTCCCAAGCTGTAAAACAGCGAAATTAGTATTTCTCTGTCTGAGGAGTGTTGATGAATGCATATGGTTAAGATATCAACATCGCAGACTGCTTGGATATTACAGTGATGGCATCCTTTTTGGATAATAAATTCATGCTGTCTAAATGGCCTAACTTACTTGGTTTTCTGTTGGCGTCTATTACTAGAGCATCTCAGGATCTCCCAAAAGAACCGCAGTCCTTATTTTATCTCCTCTTCTATGTTTTCAAAATTATTGTAGAAGACAGTAAGTAGAAATGCTTGCTGACATTTGTTACTGAGGGAAAAAAACCCCACGACATTTAGCAACCCTCAAGTCATATGGCTTTAGACATAAAGCATACACCTTGCCCATAGCAGTTTTGAAACTTTAAACAGCAAACCATGTGTTTTCACAAGAATGAAGACTTTGCCCATGTGAATCTGAAAAACTTTGACAGTTATGTTCCACCAATTGATCAGACTGTATTTCTATTTAGAGTCCAAATCTGACAAGCTTTGAAAGAATTAGTTTTGCTGTAATGCTTTTAACTAATTCTGCATTTAGTTTTGTAGTCATCTTTGTTTAATGTTTTAGGGTAGGCAAATTGCACAAGAGGAACAGAGCATTAGGAAATATTTTTTTTTCCACTTATTCTAGTGAGTTTTCAAATGTAATAATAAAATATTGCTACCACTGTATCACAGAAAACAGATTTTAATAACATTAACGCTTTGTTCCTGTGATTATTTTAAAACAAAATTTGAAAAATGCATTTTACACTTCAAGCAGATAAAGATAGACGTGATTCTGAAGATGGAAAATTTGAATCAACAATTACCTCAAAAACAGTAGAAAAACTAGAATGTACAGAGAATGGAGATGAGGGACAGCAAACCAACTCATTACAAAAAGCTGTAATTGGGGAAGTAAAGACTAAGTCAAAACTACTAAAACTTAATTTCACGTGTCTATTCAGTCTAATAGCAAGTATTTTAACAAATCTCTTGGGCCAAATGTTAGCATCATGAGAATGACAAACATCAAATATAATACCATAGGACTAAACATCATGATCTTTTAAGACTAATGGTAGCGATATTCAAGGCTGTAGGACAGTTCTGACAGAAAGGCATATGAAAAAAGCAGTACGTGGGAAATAAACCAAAATTATGGGAACTAGAATGTGCATGTTTCAAAACTTTTTATTTGACAGAATAATGAGTTCTAGAAACATACATATTTTAATAGAAACTGTCTGGAGTTCTCAGAAGTGGTTAAGACTTTGCTGCATTTTGAACTTCTGTTCAAGGTGGGGCAGATAAATCAATAAAGAAACTGAACATGGTGGTAAGCTAACTTAATGGAGCTTGTATAGTGGGGGTAGTGCTAGCGGGACAAAGTTGCAAGGCATTGTCAGTTCAGAGGCTAACTGACAGAGTTCAGAAGAATGAAATAATACAAGTAGGATGCAATTCCATGTAACAAAATGATGCAATTGAGGACAAATAACAAAAACCTAATCTGAAAGTTGGGAGTGTTGTGAAAATGAAATGGAGGAAGACGTGGACCTACCAGTCACTTCTCAATATAACGCAGCTACTAGAAAGGCAAATATGCTTCTAGATGTCATCAGCTGGGAGACTTCAGCCAAGGATGAGAATTACTGGTGCTACTGTTCAACCCTGATTTGTGACTTAGAATGCTGTATTCAATCTTCATCATGCCTTCGAGAAAACTGATTCAAATTGGCAGAGGTTCAAAGAAGGGTTATGCAGAGCACCGGGGAAACAGAAAACCTGCTATGGAAGCAGATAGTAGGGCTTAACGTAACAAAAGCACAGGGTGTTATTTTGCTCTCTCAAAAACATCCTCTTCGTGTAACTGCTGGTGTGAAAAACAACATTGAAGTAAAAATTAAAGCAGAGTAATAGATGAATGTAAATTAGTATTGAGCATTGAGCTAGAAAGTAGATTCCTAAGAGTCAAAAAAAATAATAAACCTTACTGCTTAGACTGTGATTAAGTTCATAAAAGTGATTATATCATAGGAGGCATGAAATAGCAAAAATCCTTGCCTTGGTGTCTAGCAGTAGCTTTCTTGTCTGTCCATTCAGAAACAATGCTGAAAGCTCTTGGTTTAGAAGAAATACTGTAAGGGCTACCAAAAACTTTCTACGTATTCAAAATCCAGTACAACAATGAAACATTGTTGATCATCAAGATGAGTAAAAGCTCTCATATTTAATGTAAAAAAACAAAGTGCTGAAGTCTAGACTAGATTCTCAAGAATCTAGGCAAAGCATAATTTGTACTGCTTCTAGTGATGTAGCATATAAAATAGTTTAGTAAAAACATACAGAGGTAAGAAGATACTTGTAACAATGCAGTCTAAATTTCTGAGAATCATGCTTATAATTCTCATAACTTATCTTTATTTCCACTTCTGTCCAGCAATTTGCCTAAGTATGAGGCCACAACACAGATGTGGGACAGGAAAGAATGAGAGAGCTCAGGAAAAAGGCTTTGCAGACATTTCCTAAAATAAGATTTTTTTCTGGAGAGTCTAAAAACGTTAGTTTTGATGACATTCAGAACAGCAGTGTTCCACATTTCCTGAGGAATAACTTTCTTTATTGTAAACAGAAATTGGCGTTCCACAATAATTATCTAAATGTGAATGGGGAGTAAATCTCAAGTACCAGTTTTCAGTAAATCTTTCGAAATAACAGCACTTTGAGGACTAAAAGCTGACATCAGAAGTCCATGCCTCAGAAGGTACAGGAAGAATAGTTAATGGTGAAGAACCTGGAGGATTTTATCTAAATCAGCTTTTTAATTGGATGGGATAAGATTATGTATTAGTGCTTAGCTGACTGCTTGTCTCTAATGAGATCTCTGATCCTGTATACATGTGAAAAAATGTGTGAAGAGTAAAAGAGCAAATCCCTTTGAGTTCTCACAGTGTTTTTCAAAAGCAATGAAGAATTCCATTAAAGGTTTAAAAAAAAAATAGGAAGGAGAGAACAAGGTTCTGTGATGCAGAGGAATAGTGTAGGATGAGTGGCAATGGACATAATAAAAGAGAAATTTGAAATTGCTGTGAAGAGTTGTTACTTGTAGCTACTGCCAGGAGCTATTGAATTGTGAGACCACAGTGAGAAAGATGATGGTCAGGCTGTGCTATGACAATGATCTTATCTATTTACATTATTTCTAAATTTTTTTTTTTCACGTGTTATGTTGCCAGGAGCAGCACAAATTCAAGCTCTAGAGGGAGTGGAAGTCATTGCAAAACTGAAGGCCAAGAAGACTTGGTAAAAACAAAAGCCTCAGAAGAGTCAGTGCCTGAAGATGAGAAAGCAAGTAAGATACAGCATTGTTTCTGTAGTGTTAAGGTAAAAATTCTGGCCTTGTATGTTCATGACTACCATTGAATACAATGGGAGTCTCCTACAGGTGTGCCAAAGGCAGAATACAGCAATAACAGAAGATTAATTTTTTTAGGAAACAAGAAGATACCAACCTGAGATAGTTGCAAATAAATATAAACAAAATTAACTTATTCTATCTTTAGTTCTAAAACCCTTATTTGTTTTTCTTAAGGACATATTTTGCCCCAATTTTTATCAAAAAATAGAACAATTGCACTTTGCAGTCATAAATGAGTGCTAGGTATTTTGTAACATGTCTTTCAAGCTTTCACATATTTTGTTATATGTGGCTGTCATGCTCGATTCATTGCCAAAAGGGCAGTCAAGTCAAATGACTGGCTTCAGAGAAATGTGTTTTGCTTTTGGTTTTTAAATACCTTTTTTTAATAGAGGGATAACTTAATCTGTGTCTTCAGAAATAATAGCTTTCAGTAAGTGATAATCTGTTTCAAGAGTAGTAATGCTATTTTTTCAGCTAAAGTTCTCATAGCATAGGGTATTAAGTATATTAAAGAACAAGGAGAAAAATATTTCTTTCTGGTTAAGTATTGACCTGGGCAAGTAGGTAGGCTTGCATACGCTGACTTTTATGTGATTAGTATCTGAGATTTCAGTAAGGTGATGTGTAGACTTTGGAGGGGGTTGCTTTGATTGGTTTGATCTAGGAGTGCTAGTGTTGTCTAGATTCACTTACATTATAGAGGTGCATCTAAATGAAATCATGGGATTTAATATTAAGTTGTTTAATTCAGGAGTTCCTGATGAATCTCATGAGGAAGACACAAGTGCTGAAGAACTGAAAACTACAGATGAAACTGCAGAGATGATAGAAGCGGGTATGTATCTGTACTCTTTCAAATACAGTTATATAAAGAAATAGAGAATGAAAAACTAAATTCCAGTATAAACTCAGTATGTGTAATTTAACTTCTGTGACTCTTTATAAAGTCTTCTAAAATAGGCTGTAATTATTAATCCTGTGACTTATTTTCCCCAATATTTTCTGTTAGCTGTATCAGATAAACCTGGTCCTGAGCATTCTGGAGTCCAAACAGAAGAAAACGTCCCCAATGCTGATGCTGTCTCTAGAAATGTAGAGGAAGAAGCCTCCTGTGAAAAAAGTGTAAATCAAGAAATTTCAGGTCAAAGTACTGAATCTACTGCCAACTTGCTTGCTGCAAATGATGAACCTCAGCCACACCCAGAATCCTCAGGGCTTGCAACTCCAGATGACTCCTCTACCAGGACCTCAGCTCTCCAGGAGACTGATGATAGTGATGATGATCCTGTTCTGATCCCAGGGGCAAGATATCGAGGGGGACCAGGACACAGGTTAGGGGAATACTTATCTCTGCTATTGCTTGGCAAAATGCGTTTTTTTATGGAAGAACTAGAAACCCATGCCTCATATCCTTGATTGTAAGTTGTTCTTTGACAACTAGCCAAGAGCTTGATGGCTGAGTCTAATTTACCTGTAAGTAAGAGATGTATAGCTATATTTTCTGCCCTAGCCAGGCAAGCTCCTCCAGATCTAATACCTGCTTTTGCTTCTTTCTTGCCTGCTGAATACCCCAGTGCTAAATATTTGCAGTTCATTTTTTATTATCCTCCCTGTAGTCATAAGTATGGAAAGTTCATAAATTTGTGTACAGGGCACAGGGACCTACATTTTTCTTTCAGCTGTACTGTAGGTGTTCTTACTTTGGCAAAGCAAGAGCTTTTAACCTTTGTTCAGCAATGCTGTGTTTGTCTGTAGTACATACATTAAGACTGATGTGTTCAGTGTTTCATTCTTTTTTCTATGAAGGAGAAACTCTGTAATCCTTTTCTTTGCTGGTTGTTGAATATCAGTATGTACGGCAGTATAAAAAATGTTAGATTACTAGTTGACATCATTAATAGAAGACGCATTTAGTAAGCTTTGTTTATGTTTTTCTTGTAAAATAAAAACAAACAGCTGTACATACTTGTTTGATCATTCAGTAAACTTAGCACCCAGTTTGGTATTGCTGGTTTAATAGCTTTGTTCACTAATTTCAATTCTTGGACTTTTTAAAAGCGGTAATAATTATTTAACCAACATCTCTATTGCTAGACTTAAGAAAATACCTTTTTTACTTGTTTTAGATGTTATGTAACCTAGTGTCAGATGCTGTAGCTTTACTCCTATCCTGTTTAAAGTCAGTGTTATCTTGTTATTAATTTCTTATGCTAGCAGTGCAAATCCTTTCCAGGAAGCATTACACTCTGTATTTGTCAGGAAATCAGAAAGAATTTAATAGTTGTGTATAGAAAAGTTTTGGAATAATTTGCAGTTAAAGTCATAAACCACCACATTGTCAGTAGTGACAAAAAGAAGAGTCATTGGTTGCTTGTTACATAGCACAAGTATTTCCGCTTACTAAATGACAGTTTTTTATGAACAAGCAAGTATATACAGATTCCGTCTTAATCCATTGACTTTCCGTGCAATACTAAGTAATTGTAGATAAATATCCAATGGCAGAAATAGTTTCCACTGCAAAGCCAATGTTCATTACGGCCTAGTCATTGAAGAGCAAGCTGTGAAAAGCCTTGCAATTTTAATGCCATTTCTGTTTTTGAGCAGGATTCTTAGCTTCTCCTCATGCACCTTATGTCGTCCCTATGATGTAATAGTTTTTGTAGTAATGTAGTAAGAATGACAGTTCGAGGTATCATATAGCTGTTACAATTTCCCACTAGTGGGAACATACCTGAAATGAAGTTACACTACATCTGATGTGCTTTTTTTCCCCCTTCTTTGTGTGCAGTGAGATTTCTTCCTGTAGAAGTTTAGATTTATAATATAGGAAGTATCATTCAACTGAATTAGTCATATAATTAAAGTTCTTTATGCAGCCTCTGCTCCCTTATTCTTCCCCCAAATAAAATCTGACAAAAGTTGCTGTGAAGTCAGTACTGTTTAGGATTGCCTCCAGGCTTTCAGTACTCAGGTTTAATGCCTGACCAATTCATTTTGTTCTGCTTTTGTGTGTGTGTAAGCAGTGAAGTTTTCTAGTGTAACTTCTGAGCAATCGGATATGTTTGCATTACGTTCCCTCCTATTCTTATAGTTTCAGGATTTTCTAAATGCCTTCTGAGATACTGAAGCAAAGTAAGGCATCTTATGTGTGCTCAGAGGATTTTGGATTTCCAGAGAGAAAGCAGGTGCTGGTGGTTGTAAAGGCTAGCTATAAGCCCTCTTAGTATTTATATCTCACATGAAGTAGAGAGAAAGGAACTGGAAGTCCTTTCTGCTACTACTACGACAGTTGTTACAGCATATGATACCTTTCATAAGCTGATCAAATTCATATAAAATCCCCTTGGCCCCTTAACTAGTGGGAAGCTACCTCAAAACATTGCTGCTATAATGTGTATAAATTGGCTAAAATAAGTAATTTTGTTTTGTGCTAACATACTGTTTTGATTGAAATAATTTTTCATGCCCAGTGCTTGTCATTTGAATGATGTTCATCCTGTCCATTTTCAGCTTTTGTCTCGTTAGACTAAGAGTACCAAGTTTTTCTCACTCTTAGCAGTAAAAATTTGTGATTTTCCTGCCATCATGATGGTTCCTGTCTGTGCTCCTCCACGTTCCCCTTTTCCTGAATGTGGTAGACCAGAATTATGCAGATGGCACTGTTTGGATTTTGCTAGGATTAATGGTATGGGTATTACTTTTGATCTGGAAAAGATTCTCTGTGAGACAGAAGTGAGCTGTAGTTACATCCTTCTCTCCTGCTTACAGCTGTCTCATAGTGGTGGCTTGTGGTCAGACACAAGGTGAATTAGTACACTGAAGTCTTTCCTACTTTGCAATTTCTAATTAATGTGTTCTTATCTTTCACCAGAAGGAAGCTCAGAAATGTATGACTGTCAATTTTATACTACTGAATTTCTACCCACCTCTTTTTCCAAGGTCCTACAGTCCCCTCTATATTCATAAAGTTGCCCAACCTCATGTCCTCCATGCACTGCATGAATACATTCCTACATTGTGCTCAAAGACTATTAGCAATATATTAAACAAAACTGCCTGCAAGACTGGTGCTTACCTCCACCAGTATGCTTCCTATAGGCTTATGTTTCTCTTTTCTCGTGTAGTAAATTGTATTACCTAACAATTCCTTTACTAAATCTTTTTCTCAGGTTTATCTAATAATTTGGTTTCCAATGTGTCATCCTATAAGATATTAATGGCATTAATATAGAAGTAATAAAGTAGATTTTTCTCTCTCTAGAATATGTAGGGAGGAGTTGCTTTGGGGATTTTTTGTTTGTGGTTTTTTTTTCTCCCTTTATGGAGAAGGTTATAAGGCTAGCCTGCAATAATCTACCTTTTGTAAACCTGTTTTATGCAGTGGCAAAAAAAATGTTTAATTCTAATTTTTTTCTAGAACAAAAAATAAAAAAGCTACAGCCTTCTACACCAGAATACTAAAAGCTGCTTGACTAATAAGCTTTTTCCAGAATACAGCATTACTGGTTTTATCTACAACCAATTTTAGGTTTCTTTAGCCTGTGTTTTTTATATACCTAATATCTAGTTATTGTTTATATTGAGGAGAAACTCCACAGTTGGGGAAATGAGGACAAAGGAAACTGTCTCATAGTCATTTTCCCACTGTAAAGTACAGCTTTCTCTGCTGAGAAAGGAATGGTGGACTTCTGATTCCATACTGTGGCATCATGATCTTAAACTTTCTGTTAAGGAAAAGAAGTGGCAGAAACACCCTTTTGATAGCTCTGTTGACAGTGCCTGCAGTTAGATGAATGGAGAACTTCCTGTTGCATCAATTCTGCTTGTCTCACTTTAATTTTAGTAAGATGGATGTAGATTTCAGGTTTAGTAATATAATGTTGTCTATTTTGCAAATCTAATGTTTACAGAGCTTCCATTGTCTGAATTTTATTTGGGTACTAATTAAACTTTTAATGTTTTCAAGCTGAGGATTGGGTCTTTTTCTCTCTTACATAGTAAATCTAAGAATAGATACGAGACATAAATCTCTTTTTGTGGATGTTTATAAATCTCAAAATGCAATGAGGATAGACAGTTTCTCACCAACTAACCTGGAATTGAACTATCAGGAAAGACTACACAACAGATATGGAAACACGAAGTTTGCACTTGCTTTAATATTTTGAAAAGGACTTAGAATAGTAGCAGCAAAATAGTAGCAGCAAAATGTGTGATCCTTTGGTTGATAAATTGGCTACGTCAGCTGAATGTTGACTAGAAATCAGCTAGGAATAGTTTTGATGCAGAAGGGCATTTCTTTGAAAGAAATAATTGAGAATGTGACATCTGACTTTTTCTGTATAATTTCTGTAGCCACTGAGTATTACTATAGGAATGGTGAAGATCAGTGACTAAAAGAAGCTATATAGTTATTTAATTTTTTTTTTATTTGTTGTTGGGCTAGTCAATACATGTTGTTTTTAACAAAATGTGTAAGAAACTGCACAAAATATTTCTAAATTTAAAAAAAAATCAAACCTGTTTTGTACAGCAGAGCAGTTTAGGTAGATACTCAACAGAGAAAATAACTTGGGCATTTTAGGGAATCCACAAGAAAAGATTCCTTCTCTTACAAATATGAGGAGATATGAGGGGTTTTAAGTCTTGAAGTATGCACATAGCATATTTTCTTTAAAATTTACTAAGTCCAGTAAATTTAGTAGGAATGGAGATAGACAATAGGGCTTGCCTTAGCACCGTACTTCGTAATCTGTGGAGGAAAAAAAAAATCTGTGGAAAATGTATGTTCTTCATGCACAGAGTGTGCGGTTTTTAATGGGTTGATCTTCATTTTCACAAATTAGTCAAAACAACTCTCTGAGGGCTGCTTTCCTATTTACATGACTGAATTAGGTTTGTTTGGACTTTGACAGAAGCTTAGCAGAGGCTAAGCCTGGAAAATGTTAAACTAGTAGGTTAAAATTTCAAACAAATATGAATGTGAAATGGAAATGACTATGCAGCTGCTTCCACTTCTGCTATGATCTATGAAGAATTACTGCATTTTATAAGATCAACTTTGTGTACTGTTATGTAATCTGAATACTATATTTATTGAAATCAATGCAGTCTTCTAACACATTGAGGAGAAGGAGTCATCTCAGTTGGAATACATAGAGCACATTTTGTAATAAATAGATGCTAAGCTTTTTTAAAACATGCTACCCAGTATTTTTGAATGACTTCAGTTGTTGTTCCCTTTACTAGATATAATATCAGAGGAACAGCGATAGGTGATAGAATTATGAGGTAATTATTTTCTTCCTCCCCTCCTCCTTTTTATTAC